GTGCTCTGGCCGGCCCAGCACCATCCCACTCTGCCCACAGGTTCAAGGCCACTGTCCCTGCCCCAAACCCCCTCTTCCTTAGATGCACTTGCTGTGCTCCCAGCCCCCCTGCCTGTGATGGCTGCCAGAGGACATGAGATTCCCGCCCCCAGCCTACCCTCTGGTCCCTCTCACCAGCTGCTGAAAGGGGCAGCTGCCAGGATTCCCACCAGCTGAGTCCTGAAAGGGGACCCTGAGGTTGGGCAGACCTGGGAGGAGCCTCAGAGTGACCTTGGTCTTGGTCTCCTGCAGCCCAGTTCTCTGTGAGTTTGGTGGCCCAGACCCTGAGCTGCAGGAACACCCCCATCCAGAGACCACAACTCATGCTGAGGCAGCCCTCGGTGCTGCAGCCCCTTAGGACCTTGCGCGGTCACTGTCCTCTTCCAAGGTCTGAGCAGCAGCTTAGAGTGCAGCCTGGGCCAGCAGAGCTGGAGGGACTCATGGGTACCTGGTGTCTGCCACGTACCTGGCTGCTGATAGACATTCAGAGGCCAAGAGGACGTACACACAGAGCTTGGAAAATGCCCCAGCTAAGGACACCCAGGTAGGCGTCTTTGTGCAGGCGTAAACAGGTGGTGTCCATGTGAGCTCTTCAGCAGAGACCATGAGGCAGACGGGGTCACTGGTGTGGTCTTTGGACACAGGGTGACCTGGGCCTCTCAGAGGATGCAGTTGCCTGAAGTCCCAGGAATAAATGTTTGATTCTCAGCTTTAAACTTGCCGAGGAGATGTGGGCAGTGGGCAGCACTCTCACCCTCCCTGGACCCCTACGCCAGCGGGCGCTTGTCACTGTCACCATCTGGCACGGAGGCGTGGGCCCTGCCCTCTCTCATCCAGACATCTCCGCCTCCTCACAGACTTCTGTCAGCATCCGCCCAGGACCCTGTGCCTCCTGGCACTGCTCTGGGTGCTGGCTCCTGGGCTTCACGACCACTGTGGTTGCCAGGAGCCCTGGCCAGGCGTTGTGTCCACTCTCTCTTATGATTCAGGGTGGTGACAGGAAGATTCTCGAGGTGAGGACATGGCCTGGTCACCACGGTGCATGGGGGTCACCGTCCACACAGCCTTTCCTTGCTGATGTGACCCTGGCCACCTGACCGAGTCTGTGCCCAGGCTCTTCTCCCGAAGTCACTTCCCATCCCTCTCTCACGCTGGCTCCTGCAGGAGCGTCACCGGGGGCAGCCCCTGGCCAGAGCAGGCCCTGGGACCCCTCCTCCTGGGGTTTTGCTATCTACGAGTCAGGTTTTCGGCATGAGAGATCTGTCCCTCTTTTATTTCCTTTCTCAACTATCAGTGGACCTCGGCATGGCCTCGGGGCGTCTGTTCTGTACTTTGCAGTATAAAACCTAATGCTTCACTGCTGACTCTGGTGCTAGGATCTTCCTCACTCTGGCTGTTGGGAGTTGGGTCATTTGACCCACGTGTCCTTTGACATGGCTCCCTCTGGGGGGGTTTCTTTGTTCTTTATTTCCTTGGCAATTTGAGGTGTGTGGAAACCCACAAAACCACCCCTGGAATCAGGATCTCGTCTGCACCCCGAGACCCCTCCCACCGCTCCCCACCCCCCGGCCTCTGGCTGTCCCCACTGAGGCTCTGCTTGGTCCTGTAGGTAGCTGGCACTTCCGGGTTTCCTGAGGGGTGTCACACCTCAGACACTGGACGACTTCCTGCACCTAGCAGCCATGGATCTCGGGTCACCTGGCATTGGAAAGGGTGGTCACTCAGCTTCCTGTTGCTGTGTCCAGGTGCCAGGATGCTCCGCGGTTGGTCCTCCTTCTCCTGTTGATGGACATGGGGTGGCTTCCAGGTTGGGGCTGTCACTAATAAAGCTGCTGGAAAATCCAGGCATACATCTCTGGGTATGTGCTCCTGTCCTCATGGGGACATGGAGGGCAGTGGTGGCCATGAGTGGGGTGGAGCTGAGGCACCGCCAAGCTGCTCCCCAAACTCCCCAGGCGGGCTCTTCTCCTGTGGCCACCATAGGGGAGCAGGAGCCCCTGGGGGACCTGTGGGGTCCCTGGTCCACTGCTGCCAGGCTGCAGCTCAGCCCAGGCCCCRCGGCCCCCGAGGGAAAGAGGGTGGTCACAGGCATGCGGGCAGCCAGGACAGGCCTGGGCCACGGACTCAGCATCCAGCTTGGACCTGGGACAGAGTGGTGGGGCTGCTCTCACAGTGGACCCCGGGGCCTGGAGGCCTTCGGGGAAGGGAGGCTGGGAGGCCCCAGGAATGGGGGGAGAGGGTGTGAGGGCACGCTAGGAAGTCTGAGGTCTGAGGCCTCCTGGCCTGGCTGGCGGGGTGGGGGGCTCTCAGGTCCCAAGGCCTCAGGGCCACCCCACAGGAGCAGTGCCACTGTCTAGCAGGGCTTCTCTGGCCCCACAACACACAGACCCCACAGAAGGGGCCCGGCTTGCCCTGAGCCCAGAGCCAGGCCCCCTGGCCCCTCAGGGGATGTCTGCTGCCACCCGGGCCTTCCCCACACTGCCCCTCCTGCCACTGTGCAGTGCCCTCACAGGACCAGGGGATCCCTCAACGTCTCCTGGCAAACTCTCCAACCCTCCCTAGKTCCCAGCCTGATGATTCCTAGCACCCTGAGCCCCAGCCCAGGGCACAGCCCTCATAGGGATGCGGCTGGGGACGCGCCAATCACAGGAGGCCCAATGGAGAAACCCGACCCCTGTTGGTCCACACAGAGCCAAGACGCAGACTGCATCCTGGCTGGCGCAGCCACCCGTCCCCAGGAGGGACAGCAGCTGGGCAGAGGCAGCCTGCAGTGTGCGCCTCTGCATGCCTGTGCCCGCACCTGCCAGCCTCCTCCAGATGGCTTGGGGACCACAGGCCAAGGTGGGTCCCGCCACAGTGCGCGAGGTGGCTGTGCATGGAGCCAGGGGTCCTGGTGCCCCATGGTGCCTCCCAGTACCTCCAGGCCCACTGGTGAAGGTCCTGGAGACTGAGACTCTCCAGGATGGAAGGCCCATGAATGTCGGTCCCCCTTGAGTCCCTCGGGCTTCCTGGGCTCTGGCACCAGGCTGAAATCAGGCCCACTGCTTGTAGCAGATTATTTATGGTGTTTGTGTAAAAACCACTGTGGTCGTTATCCACAAGTGTGGCTGAGTGTGTTGGCCCGGTAATCAAAGACAGGTAAGATCCAATTACAATGGTACCAACCTAAGACAGGAGGCTGACGATTTGAGGTCAGACCATCCAATGACGGGTAAGGACCATATGTAGTATTGGACAACCTAAAACAGGAACAGTCCCTAAGCCACATACTTGTTCTTTAAATTAAACAAAAGGGGGAGATGTTAGGGCCCGTAAACAAGTCAAGATGGCGCCTGGCACTTTGCCAGAGGGAGTGGTTTGTGAAGTAATGCCAGCAAGCCATTAAGATGATAGAGATTCCTTAATGACTGACTGCTGTGTCTAGATTATGTCAATTAAGTTAAGCTGTGTGTAATCATTAAGATGATGAGGATTCCTTATTGGCTGACTGCTGTCCCTAGTTTATATTAATTAAGATAATTAAGATAGTTAAGTATATATACCTCTGCCATCCAGCAATAAAGCGGCTCCCGCTGTATCAATCCTCACAAGTTGCTTGTCATTCCCCCTGGTTATTTTGCTGCAGCCAGACTGTGGCACACCCAGAAGGCTGTGTGTTACAGTGATTATGACAATGTGTCTTTGGCCCTGAATAAGCTACACGCCCACATATCACTACAGACAAAGTTGGCCCTATTGCCTCAGCTTCAGTTGCTCCTGCTGTGTGGACATGGAGGCGTGGAGGGAGGAGCACTGTGTCCAGGCTGCTCTCCAGCAGGCCACAGTACCTCCATGTCCTTTGCATTGTGGTTGTGGGCTCTGGTTACAAAGTGTCCACTGATGTGCCACCAGGGGACATTACAAAAGATGGCCTGGTAAGATTGTGGGGCCTGGCAGGCACCATGAGTAGAACGTGCCATCCTGAAGGAAAGGAGGAACTCCATGTCCCTCTCCATGCCTGAGCACTAGCGGGTTCAAGGACGGGAGCATGGGTTTGGGCTGCAAGGTCCAGATGTGACTTGTCCTGAAGGATGTGTGCTGTCACAGAGTGACTCCCTGCACATAGGCCAAGCTCCTTGGGAGCTGGTCGCCACTGGACAGGGCCCCAGAGGGACAGAGGTGTGCTTTCTGGGGAAGTGCTGGAGGTAGCACGAGAACCATGACCTCAGGTCGTCCTCATGAGCATCCCACACCCCGTCTCTGTCTCCGTGGGGTCTTTGGTGTCTTGATGACCTATCTCACTGCCCAGAACAATGAGGCTGTGGACAGTGAGAAGGGAGGAGGGAGGAGGGGCAGAGGGCAGGAGGGAGAGGTGGAGAGGGTGAGGAGCCGTGTTAGGAGAGAGGAGGCGCCGTCATGACAAAGCCTGGACGTGGCGCTGAGACACTGCGCCCAGCTCCCTGTGGGATGGCGAGGGCAGTGCCCAGGCCCCCTGACCCTGTGGGATGGCCAGGGCGGTGCTCCGGGGCCCCTGACTCTGTTAAGCTGAAACACGACCAAGACAGAAAGTTGGGAGGCCAAGAGGCTGGGCCCACCTGCTCCAGCGTGGACAAGCTTCGGGGCAGCCGTCCTGGGTGCCAGCCGAGCCAGGGGCTGGAGGCCTGCCCTTGATGCTGCCTTGTGCCAGCCGTCCCTGCTGGACCACGAGCAGGCAGRAGCCCAAGGCAGGAAGGTGAGCTCTTCCTCCCAATCTCTCCACTGCGAAGGGGCCAGGTGCCGGGTAAGGAAGGTCAGCAATGGGATCTGGAGCCAGAGCCAGGAACTGAGCCCGTGCTGGACGCCGCTCTAGCCCCCTCACGGACTCGTGGACACAGTGGACATCTACTAATTCACTTAAGGAAACCCGCCATCCTCACACATGTGAGGGGCTCTTGCTTCTTTCCCGGAAAGAGGACCCGCGGGGCCACGCGCCCCCAGAACCCTCACTGGGTGTTGTTGACCCCCAACTCCAGGCCCACTGAATGTTCTGTCTCCAAAGCTGGAGTCGAGAAGCTGATCTCCAACCGCCGTGGAGAAACAGTGGAGCCTGGGAGGGGAGGCACAGGGGCCGGAGAGCAGGCCGGGTGCCCCTGCCCAGCCGGACGCCCCTGCCCAGCCGGACGCCCAGAGCCTCCATCCTTGCTGGGTGTGCTTTCTTCCTGTGGGGACGGAGCCAGGCCTGGCACACGCAGGGCAAGTCTCTGTCACGGAGTCACCTCAGCACCCGGGTTGGGTTTCAGCCTGGTGCTGGAGCCCAGGAAGCCACCATGTTCTTAGTCCTAAAGCCTGGGTGTCAAGGGAATTAAGGGGGCTTCGGTTGTCCCCTGACCCTCCCAGGGACAGGGGAAGGGCTGGAGGGTCCATCCAGGCCGTTCTCCTCAGCGCCTGGGACAAAGGAGGCCAGGTTGTGGGGCTCAGGACCTGGCTGTGCAGGGGAGCCCTGCTCTGGGGGAGCACAGTGGGCCAGCAGGAGGGGGCAGGGGGCAAGGCAGGAGAGAGTGAAGCCAGCGATCCGGGGCCTGTGTCCACTACCCGGTTGTGGGAAGCCACATGAATGACCACACCTTCCAGTYCTGATGCCTCAGATTCTGACCGACCACTGCATTCGCTCGGATAGTAAGGGTCTTCTTTGTGGGATGTGCCTCCAGGGCTGAGTTACAGCCACCTGTCCCCGGTAACCCTGCCCTTCTGGCCTTTTGTGGATAGGGCTTTCTAAAGAACAAGAGTCCCCCCATAACAGCCCCCTGCGAACACACTTGCTCCCTCCCACCAGGCTCTAGTGACTTTCCCTCGCTCTCCCTCTGGGGAGCCTGAGGCCGAGAGCGGAGAAGCCGTCCTGAAGCCTGTTCAAGTACAAGTGTGCGTCTGTGTTTTATTTGGTGTCCGTGCGAGTTCACATGAGTGACCTTAAGTTCAGGTCCTGCGCAGGTCGGGGTGGCACCTGGAAGCCGGCCCACCCATGGGGGAGAGACCCTTCCTGGGCGCCTTTAGGAAGGGCCACCCAACCACGGCCCTTCTTCGGCAGCCTTCCCAGGGTCGACTCCAGGAAGATGGCTGCAGATGTCTGACCCCGAGGCCCAGGTCCTCATTAGCAGCTGCAGTGCAGAGCCAGGACCAGGGTGGTCTCTGTCCTCACAGGCCCACACGTGTCCCAGCACTTCAGACCAGACGGACTCACGGCCTTGAACCCGAGCCTCCTGACCCAGAGCGCCAGACCAAAAGAGCACAAAACCCTCCCTCACCCCCCATCATCCCTCTACCCACACCCCTCACCCACCACCAGCCGGCCTCCCTATGGCCAGTGGGGGCCAGGCCTAGACTGCTTATCCCCACTCCACCTCCATCTCCCAGCCCCAGGCATCCGCAGGGGCCTGCTCCTGTCCTGGGGCCCTGCCTGCCCGGCTGACCAGGGCAGAGGCCTAGGGACAGCCTGGCCCTGCTGGGCCCCGTCTTGGCCGCCCAGAGCTCCGCTGGTGGAGTGCACACTTGGGGGTAGTGAGGGAGGCTGGCCTGTCCTGGGGTGGCCATCACGGCCCTGCCCTGCCATGGGTCCCTTTGTCCTTGCCCCTCACTGACCCCAAGGTCACAGCAGCCACTCTGGGGTCCTGGGCACAGTGCCTTTATTTGTGCTGACAGTGGGGGAGGGCAGGGCGGGTGAGGCAGGCCCTTCAGCAGCTTCAGCAGGCAGGGTCGGGCAGCTCATCTGGCGGGGTGAGGGACAGTGGGACAGGCCATGAGGGAGAGGAGAGGGGTGGGCCTGGGAGGGATGTGAGGGGAAACGAGCAGGTGACTGGGAGGGGGCGGAAAGGGGACCAGGGGGAGGGAGAAGGGACCAGCCTGCTCTGGGGTAGGGGCTGGGGATATCAGCCTGGGGTCTTCTGGAAGGCCCTGCCCAGCCTGCCTGCTCTCCATTTCCCACTGTCCACTGCCTGTGAACGAGTTACCGATGGCAGTTGGGAAGACGATGTTGTCCTTGGTGAGACCCTGAGCTTTGACCAGGCAGGTGAATCTGTCCAGTGTCCAGCGGGGCAGATTCCAGTGTCTGCCTGTGCTGACCAGTAGGAGAGCTCTCAGCCACTCAGATGGGTGGGTGGGAGAGCCAATTGTCCCCAAGTCACCCGGTCAGTCCCAGCCCCCACCAGGGTCACCGCAGGGCTCAGAGCGAGGAGGGGGCTCACCCAGCAGACTGATCCTGATTGTGGTCTGGCTGCCCATCCGTCTGATGGACAGCAGAAGGGCAAAGACCGTGTAGTCGCCATCGACCACCTGGACGTCTTCACTGAAAGTGCCGGTCCCCGCCCTCCCACCTGGGTCAGCCTCGGCCTTGGTGTCCACGGTGAAGTGCCCAGGCTGGGCTGCTGGGATCAGCACGTAAGACCAAGTGTTGCAGCGCTTGCCCCTGCGGGCGGGCAGGCAGGGCAGAGAAGGCTGGGAGGCCGGCCAGGCCCAGCCCAGATGMCCCCAGGGAGACACAGAAGGCTGGAAACTGTCCCACAGCTGGAAACTGTCTCAGCCCTGGACCCCTCAGTCCCCCCTCTGCAGCCCACCCGTCCACATGCAGGCGGCTACCCGTCAGCTTGGCACGGAGCCCCCGTCCACAGGATGTGCAGTGGGAGAATGGCCTTTTCTGGGTCAGCCCTGCTCTGGGGCAGMGTGGCTGGACTCCAGCCTGCAAGCCCTGGGCCAGATGGTGTGGGGGTGAGGGGTCCGGAGGGCCAAGGGCAAGCTGTCCCTGGCTGAGGCCAGCAACCCCATGTGCCACTCTCTTGGGCCTCAGGAAAGCGCCCAGAGCCGCAGGGCTTCTCAGGGAGTTTGCTGATTCAGAGAGCCCCAGGGGCAGTCGACCTGCAGTGACACGGAGGCGAGAATGGACCCCTCGCTCCCCCAATCAGGCCTGACCCGACCCAGGCCAGTGAGATCTCCAGGAACCTGAGGCCTAGGAGGGGTTCTGAGTGCAGCCACACCCACGCGGGTGACTTCCAGCCTCAGGGCTCTGTGCCCACCTGCCACAGGCTGGGCCAGTGTGACGTGAGGCTGGGGGAGGATCTGGGGACACACACCCAGGTGCTGCCTGCCACCAGCCTGGGGTCCCTAGTCTGTGTGGCAGCGTCCCCTGGCTTCAGTCCAAGTCCCCAGAGGCTGGAATGCCTCTGCCTCCCTCCCCCTGGTCTGTGTGGCAATGTCCCCTGGCTTCATGATCAGATACTAGGTGGACTCTAAGAGTCCTAACCAGAGCAGTCACCTGGCCCTCTTCCCCCGCAGCAAGCCATCCAGGTGCTCAATGAGGCGGCCAGGCTGCGGGGGGGGGGTAGCAGAGTTAGCATGCTGTCCCTGGCATCCCCAAAGGGCGCCCCTCCCCCCGAGGTTCCCATAGGCTGTCCCCCCAGGCCAGATGCTTCTCCAGCCAGGTGGTGGGCTCTTCATCCAGATGGGCCAACGAGAGCACCTGCGGCCCTGGGTGTAGCAGCTGGGGGACACTTACTCCAGCAGGGCCACTTGAAGGCTGTCCCTGGCAGACCATCTGGGGCTGCCCACTTCTCTCCTAACACTGTGAGATGACAACCGGATTGGACAGAGGTTGGGCTGAGGCAAGCAGAACTGACCCCGGGTCTATCAGCCTTGAGCTCACCGAGCAGCCTGTGCACTGGACAGAGGCCTCAGGACGTGACGCTGCAGCCCACAGTGTGACGGAGGCCATGGTGGCTCCTGGGAGAGGACCCAGATCCTCGGYTTCTCAGACAAGAGAGCCCACTCACCGGGTCATGGTGTTGGAGACCTCAAAGTGGCCCTTTTGGTTGAGCCCAAATGTCRTGGAGAAGGTATTCAGCAAAGCCCGGTCTTCTCTCCTGTAGGTGTTACTTGCCAGACCAAGGACAAACCACTGCCCCTGGAACTGCAGGACGGGTGACAGGAGGGCCAGCAGTCCGTACCCCACCTCACCATACCCTGGACAGCCCTGAACCAGGATCCCTGCCAGACAGCCGCCCCAGGGCAGGGCCTGCACCGCGACTCTGGTAGCAGTCACAGCCTGTCCTACGTCTGGCAGGGACTGGGTGGCCTGGCCAATTGCCAGTGGCCTTCCAGAGCCTCAGTTTCCCCACATGTGCAGAGTCTACGACCTGTGGGAGCCACAGGAGGGAATGTCAGTGTCCTGCTCTGTTGGAGGCCAGGGGAGCCTGAGAGAAGGGCCTGCCTGCCTGGACTCCGGGGTAGTGCCCGCCACCCTCCTCCCTGAACCTGAACTTGGGCCCCAGCCCACTGCCCCGCCAACCCTGTACCTGTTTACTTTGGAAGTTTGCCAACTGTGGTGGGGTGGCTGGGTCCTGGCCCTGCAGGACTGTTGGCAGGGTGAGTGACAGCAACAAGACACACCCAGGGCCCATCCTGATAGCCACTGGCCCGAGAGGGACCTCTTTAGGGCTCACCTGGCGGGTGCCCCTCCCAAGGGGGTGTGGAGGGAGAGATATGGAGGGAAGTCTTGGGGAGGCAGGGCAGGCAGGACGGTCCCTCCTCAGACCTCCCCCGCCGTGGTTCCCTGAGTCCCAGGCCAGGAGGGACTGGGAAGGCCTCTTGGGCCTGGCCTGGACCTGGTTTTTGGATCCCTCTGTGCCTGCGCCCCCTTTCAAGTGTCCCACAAAGGTGGGGGCCCTGCCCAGCCCTGCCCTGACGACCCTTCCCAACACAGAACATCCTGTCCCAGGCAGAGAGCATGACTGGAGCAGTCCTGACGGGATATCTGCCCCACAGAGCTGTCCCCAGCCCCCAGGCCTCCACATGACCCCTGACCTGAGTGAGTGTGGGAGGCACACCAGCTGGCCCTGCGGCCAGGAGGGCATGGGCGGAGCCAGCCAGAGGGGGCGGGGAGGCGGCCTGGGCGCACCAGGGCTCCCAGGTGAGAGCGGCAGAGACTTCCAAAGGGACCTCCACCCAAGCTGAGGGCAGGGGCTGTCCCCCTAATGGAAGCAGGGACCCTGCCAGGGTCCTGCCCAAAAAAGGTCTAGCGAGGAGGACCCAGACAGACATGGGCTTCCAGCTGCCCTGGCCCTTTGGAAGTCAGGCCTGAGAAGTCAGTGCCCCTCTATGGACACTCCTCCTCCCACCCACTGTCAGCTGAGGAGGTCAGGAGGCTGTGGCCAGGCCCCTGCCTGACAGGGCACCTCCTCTGCGAGCTCCCTGTCCTGGCCATCTCCTCCTCTCTCCTGCCAGGGTCCCTGGCCATCTCCTCTCTCTCCCAGCCCTGCTCATGGGGGACTTGGGCCCATCCCAGGAAGTCCCTGGCCTGGCAACCTGTGCTGGGCAGGAACCCCACCACAAGGCTGAGGGCCTCAGGGCCAGACCTGCCCTCGCCTGGCAATGGGGCAGCCTGCTGTGCTGACTGACTGGTCCCCATGACTCCTGGCCTGAGTCACCCAGGAAGAGAATGGTGTGAACCGAGCACAAGACTCCTCTGTACCCTGAGGTTCCAGAAGCATCTTTCTACTCACATCTCCTGGGGCCTTCGGGAGCCTGATCAGCAGCCCCTGGGCCCACTCTCACCCTGGCCAGACACTGCCCCTTCCCAGCTGTCTTAGTCACAGGGCACTCTGGGGAGATGTGGGGAGCAGCAGTCAACAGCATGTCCCAAGTACAGGGACAGCTGGTCCCTCGATACACACACCCAAGCAGGGCCCTGTGGTGGACAGGGCACTGGGGACCCCGAGACAGCCCATCACCCAGACAGGACCCAGGGCAGCCCTTGCCCCGTTCCCAAGGCCCTCCCGCTCCCCCTCCCCGACACAGGTCTCAGAAAAGGTGACCAGGGAAGCATTAGTTTCCACAGATTCTTAAAACAATTATTCTCTTAAGATGTTGCAAACCACCTATCAGAATTCAAAGGCAAAATACAAACTATAAGAGCTCTAAATAAAAATGATGCACAAGGAGCTATCGTTGTTTAACAGAACGTTTGTTCATTTTATGAAATCATGAATTTATGAAAACGAAACGCGYGTCAATTCTAATGTGCTGCATCTTCTTTTCCCAGGTCAGACCCACACTGCGGTGCAGACCCCCAGGGCAGAGTCGTAGGGTCAGGCCACTCGGTCTTTTGGAAGGGTCTCTGGCGCCCCCCTCAGAACAGAGAGAAGAGCACGCAGAGTCTGGCGACAACGCGATGGGGGACAAGGCTCTCTGTGGCTGAGAGACCTTAGGGTCTCTCGGGGTCCTATGTGATGTGGTTGCTCTTGGGGTCCCTATTTTGGGGTCTCTGGGACATGGAGCTGGAGGGCAGTCTCCTGGGTGGGGTCTGTCCCTCGGTCCCTGCCTCCCCTCTCCCTCCCGCCCTACTTCGCTGCTTTCCTGAGTCCAGCTGCACAGGGACCCTGGGGGGAATGGCAGGGGGACCGCCCACAGGACACAGAGCCCATTGGGCAGCTGCTGGCTCTTCCTGGTAGCCACCCACCCCAACCTGAGTCCCTCTGCTCTCTCTGAGAGTAGCTGGGCCAGCAGAAAAGGTCCAAACACCAGACAGCCATTCCTCTGTGGCCCAAAGCTCACTGGGCACCCTGGGTCTTCCCACAGCCCGAGGAAGGAGGTTGTCGGAAGGGAGGGCATAGAGAGCAGGGGCCCAGCGCAAGGTCCTGCCCCACCCCCGCCTCCCTGTCTGTGACCTTGGGGGACTCTGGGTTTGCCAGGGGGTCCTCCCGCTGTCCAGAGTCCCCATGCTCACCTTATCTGGCCCAAGCAACAGCTGGCTTTCTCCCCAGAGACTCCCACCTCTCTCACCTGGGTGCCCTCCCCCAGTGTCAGGGCACCCAGGTGGCCAGTCCTGCTCTCGGAAGCCCCTGGCTCACAGTGTGCAGGACGGTGAGGCCTCAGCCCAGCCAGGCACCGTGTCCAGGGATGGTGAAGTGACCTTGCTGCCCATCTCTGATATGCCATCCTACCTCAGGCTACAGGGCCCCTGGGCCTCTGGCTCTTCAGCTTCCAGTAGGGGGTCCTGACAGGAGCCCCTCCTTAGGGAAGTCCACCCTGGGCAGGGCCCTGGGGCCCAACAGGCTGTTGGAGAGGGCGGCCCAGAGGCCAGCACAGGGCAGGGGAAGACAGGGGTTCTGGGAAGCTCCCCAGCCCCACCTTGCTGGGGAGGGGGTTCTCAAACGATGGGGGAACAAGCCTCCTYCTCCTCTGGTGCGAGTGGGGACTGAAGGGAGCCAGGGGTCCACTGTGATGTTTAATGAGCTCCCARGGGGAGGTGGCTTCTGAGAGCAGACAGGGGAGACTCCTCCAGAACCACAGGGCCCTGACCTTGACCAGCGCTGCTCTGGTGCTCACCGAGGAGGGCAGCAGGTGACCCATCACGGCTCCCGCAGGCCTCGCCCCCTCACTTCTGCAGCACACAGGAGACTCAGCAAGGGGCAGGAAGGAACCTGCACTGTGGCCACTGGCCAGCTGCCCTGCTGCCCACTCACCATCCAGGATGTGGAACTGGTCAGCAGCCTTGCAGAAACCTGGGGGCCCAGGCAGTGGTTAGGGAGGGCAGGATGTTGGCCAGGAGGGGGACCTGCTGGGGACACTCACCATACTTGGGGAAGTATAAGATCTGGTCTTCAGTCAGGTTGGCACTTTTGACCTGCTGCTCGAACACACTCAGGACAGAGTCACTCACAGGCAGCGATCGGGCTGTGGGATAGACAGGGCCACTGATGCAGGAGGGTATGGGGTGCTCCGGGAACAGAGTCTGTGTGTCCAGGACCTAGCTGTCTGTGCCCACTCCCACCCTAACCCCACACCAGGCCCATCCAGCAGCTCCTCCCTGGGCACCAGCACAGAAGGTCAGGATGGGGGGGAAAGGGGAGGGTCTGTGATGGCCCCTTGCATGTGCAGAGCCTGGGATCCCAAGTGGACACAGGCCATCACACACCGTATAGCTTCACAGACAGCTGCCTCGCCCGCTCCAGGTACAGGATGGCGAAGCCCTGGTAATCAGTCGCAGCAACCACCATGTGCACAGGGGCCCGGGCTCCTTGAGCTGAGGCAGAGCCACAGCAGGTATCAGTCCCTACCCAGCTCTTCAGCCCTACCCCCTCACCTGCTGCCCTCACCTTGGAGCAGGAAGCGGCCAGGGACCTCTGTGTCTCTGTAGAGCTGTCGCACCTGCCAGCAGATCCCATCCCTGGGGGTGGGGGGAGTGGGAGGAGGCGCCAGGCACCAGGGACCCAACCCAGGTGGGACCATGTGGGATATCAGTACAGGTGACTGCAGGGCTGGGGCCAGGGGGCTAGGGCAAGGGTGGTGGACCATGCCAGGACTCACAGCTTGCGGGAGGTGTTGATGACCATGGCTGCACCCTGGGGAGTCACGTGCAATGTGGTGGCCTCAGCCTGGTGACCCTGCTCCTGTAGGAAGCGGCAGGCAGAGCCCACACCCACAAGGAGCCATGTCCCTGAAAACTGGGGTTAGGCACCAGAGGGACTCCAGGACACTGAGGGGAGAGGGTGGTCTGGACCCACCCTTGTAAAGCTGGGCAAGCTCCTGCCCCCCATCTACCTCTATTACCTGCCCCCACCTCCCTCCTTCCTCCCCCTGTCCCCCAGCTTCTCACCTGCTGAGCATTGAATCTGGCCTTGGGCTGGATGCTGCTGATGAGGGTTGGGGGCCGAGGGGGTCGAACCCTCTGGGCCAGTGAGTTGGCCACCAGCAGCAGAGTCAAGAGCAGTGGGGTYTCAAGGGGCAGCATGGTGATAGTGGCAGCGATGAGGAGGCCAAGGGCAGCAATGTCCCAGGTCAGAGTCCACTGTCCAGCCCCACAGGAAGCCCAGCCCAGGAAGTCCATGGCTGTCCCCTACCTCCCCAACCCCCCACCCTGGGCAGTGGTCCTCCCAGCCTCCTCAGGAGCCTGGTCTCAACAGGAATCAGGCCCCAGGTCCTSGATACACGGCCCCGGTTGGCCTTAGACTCCTTGCCCATCTATTTCTACAACCTTGATTTCCACCGGGTCAGTGCGCAGCACCTTGCACATCTATCACCTTTAAACTACCAAACTCCGGTTTCATCCTCACAGTCAACAACTCTGGGCTCCTGGAGCTCAAGGCCAAGGCAGTAGGCCCAGGGCAGTCTCGAACCCGCGGACCTAGAGCCCCGCCCCCGGGTGCATCGCCGCCGCCGCTCCCCCAGGGGCGCTGTTCCGGAAGAGCACGGGAGCGCGCAGGCGCACAGACGCGCAGGCGCGCGAGAGGCCGACGCGGGCTGCTGGGCGGTCGGCCCTCCGCGGCCATCGATGCCTCGGGGCTCGGAGCGTCGGGCCTGGCGGCCTCTTCCGTAGAGACGCGGGGGCGGCGGCGACGGAAGCGGCTCCGCGCAGCGCAGCGGGCGGAGGCGCCGCGGTGAGTCCCGCCTCGGCTCTGCCGCACTCGCCGGCGCCCCTGGCCTTGTCCACGCCTGGCCTGGTCTTGTCCCCCGGTACCAGCCTTGTCCCCAGCGGAGTACCCCGCCTGCGCCGGCCGGGCGAATGAATGTGCTGCCGGCTGCCTGTGCCCTGTCCCGCCCCGCGGCCCTGCCCGGACCCCGTCGCCTGCCCCTTCACACCCTGACCCCCTGCCCGCACGTCCCCCACCTGGCCAGCCCCTTAGGGCAGAGGCCAAGGGCCTGCCGGGCCCCTTCTGAGAAGGAAGTCTGTCTTGAGCTGACAGTCGTACGCCTTGGGGCAGCAAGGTCAGCTCAGGGGGTCACTGGCCCTTGACGGCTTAAACTCGGACCGACCAGTACAGGCAGCCCAGACCTGCTTACCTGCCCTGGCACCCAGCTGTTTCCCTGGCCCCGGGTTGGCGGGGGCGGTCAAAGGGCCCCATCTGCAGGATGTGACCTGGGCCAAGGCCTTTTAGAGTAGACAGATCTGGGTTCCAGCGGCCCACCTGCGCTCCACCTCAGGCTGCCCCAGGCCCAGCCGTGCTGAGGTGCCTGTGCCTGCTCCAGTGCTCTAGCAAGCCCTAGGAGCTAGCTGCAGCGGTTGGGGAGAAATGACTGTGCAGGCTTGTCATGGAGCTGCAGTGGTCAGTGCAGCAGTACCCTCCACAAACACCCAGTCCAGTGGAATTCCCAGCGTGGCACTTGGTGGGGCTCGAGGAACAGTGGGGCTGCCACAGCTTGAGCTCCAGGTCTGCACCTCTCCTAGAGGTTGGGGTAGAGGTTTGGGTTCAGGGCAGCCTCTGGTGGATTTCAGGGCTGCCTGGGCAGAATGTCACGATGGACGAGGGGGGCACGCCCCTGCTCCCTGACAGCCTCGTCTACCAGATCTTCCTGAGCCTGGGCCCTGCGGACGTGCTGGCTGCTGGGCTGGTGTGCCGACAGTGGCAGGCTGTGTCCCGGGATGAGTTCCTATGGAGGGAACAGTTCTACCGTTACTACCAGGTGGCCCGCGATGTACCCCGACACCCAGGTCAGTACCTGCACACACCCCAAAGCCCATTCAGCAGCCATGTGGGAGGCCAGGGCTCTCCCTGCCATGTTCTGAACCATGCTGGGGAGCTCCTGCTGCCTACCTGCTGGGGCCATGGACCATTCAGGCAGGAAGGGCTTCAGAGCAGAAGATGCACTCCCAGCTGAGTCCTGATTCCAGACTGGCTGGCTCCATAAGCACCAGGGCCCTCACTCCTGGTGGCCCCACTCTTCAGGGTAGTCTTGGCTGTGAGGAGGAAGGGTTGGGACCAACACTGACAGTGACGCTGTCCTGCCCACAGCGGCCACGTCCTGGTATGAGGAGTTCCGTCGGCTCTACGACATGGTACCCTGCGTGGAGGTGCAGACTCTGAAGGAGCACACTGACCAGGTCCTGCACCTCAGCTTTTCCCACTCTGGGTACCAGTTTGCCTCCTGCTCCAAGGACTGCACTGTGAAGGTGAGGATGCCCCACCCAGGCAGGTGGGTTGGGTGGGAAACGGCCAGTCTCTGCATCCAGCAGAGAGGGTCAGCTAGGAAGAAGCACTTGCGCTGGGACCTGGAGCCCCAGCCTAGATCACAGGACCCAGTGCTAGGACATCCCTGACTACTGGAGAGGACGGGAAGGCAGGATTCCCAGGTCCCCTGGGGTAGGGGGGATGAGGTRCTTGAAGGAGTCCCCGCGCCACAGCATCTCTAGGCAGCCTCAGTGGAGAAGGGTCCAGGACTTCCTATACAGCCACCAGCCCTGGCCAGTCACCCACTGGCTCCTCTCCCGTAGATCTGGAACAACGACCTGACCATCTCGCTGCTGCACAGCGCAGACATGCGGCCCTACAACTGGAGCTACACCCAGTTCTCCCAGTTCAACCAGGATGACTCCCTGCTGCTGGCCTCAGGCGTGTTCCTGGGGCCACACAACTCCTCCTCAGGCGAGATCGCAGTCATCAGCTTAGGTGAGCAGGAGCCTGGGTGGGTCTTCCACTGCCCGCAGTCGGCAGCCTGCTCAGCTCCGCCTCCCTGCAGACTCCTTCGCCCTGCTGTCCCGCGTGCGCAACAAGCCTTATGATGTGTTCGGCTGCTGGCTCACAGAAACGAGCCTCATCTCCGGGAACCTGCACCGCATTGGAGACATAACATCCTGCTCAGTGCTGTGGCTCAACAACGCCTTCCAGGTGCGGGTGGGGCCGGGCAGGTGGACCAGGCCTGAGGAAGCTGGAGCTCCCCAGGCATGGCCCTGCACCTACCCACCTGTCCCTGCCCAGGACGTGGAGTCAGAGAACGTCAATGTGGTAAAGCGGCTCTTCAAGATCCAGAACCTCAATGCCAGCACCATTCGCACAGTGATGGTGGCCGACTGCAGCCGCTTTGACAACCCTGACCTCCTGCTGGACGCCAGCGACCAGGCTACACCCCTCTGCCAAGTCTTTGACCTGGGTGGTGACAGCGAAGATGAGGCTGCCAGCCCCCCTTTGCGCAACCCCCGACCGGGCCGCGCCAAGGAGGGCTTGCGGCGTGTGCTGGATGGTGTGCTGGATGGGGGCACGCAACTATCGGAGCGTGCGCTGGAAACCAGGGTGGCCGAGCTGCTGGCCCAGGGTCACACTAAGCCCCCAGAGCGCAGTGCCGCTGATGCCAGGAACAAATACCTCATTTTCACCACCGGCTGCCTCACCTACTCGCCACACCAGATCGGTAACAGCAGCACAGGGCCTGCAACACCCCAGGTCCTGCCTAGGCCTGCCTGGGCCTTCCTCGGTGCAGAGCCCTTAGGGCAGGACAGCCCATAGGTCACTTTTGCTCCTGAGGGAATGGGGCTGAGATGTGGAAGTGCAGGTAGTGCTGGTCAACCAGTGACTGGGTGCGTCTGACTCAGACCTGGGCCCCAGTATAGGCACAGCCCATGGTCCCCTCGGGTGCTATCGGGTGGGGGTGTCCTGGAGGTGACCTCCCTACAGCTCTAGTCAGGGCCCTGGCCCGGCCTCTCCACAGGCATCAAGCAGATCCTGCCACACCAGATGACGACTGCCGGGCCTGTGCTGGGCGAGGGCCGGGGCTCTGATGCCTTTTTTGATGCACTGGACCATGTCATTGATGTGCATGGGCACATCATTGGCATGGGCCTATCCCCTGACAACAGGTGGGCCTCTGACACATCCTGGGTGGGGGTGCCTGCAGGTGACCCATACGTAGCAGCCCACCTGTACCTAGCGCATGCCCCTCGCTCAGGTATCTGTACGTGAACAGCCGCGCCTGGCCCCCAGGCTCTGTGGTGGCTGACCCCATGCAGCCACCACCCATTGCAGAGGAGATCGACCTACTGGTGTTTGACCTCAAGACCATGCGGGAGGTGAAGCGGGCCCTTCGAGCTCACCGCGCCTACACACCCAATGATGAGTGCTTCTTCATCTTCCTGGATGTCAGCAGGGACTTCGTGGCCAGGTGTGCTTGGGTGGGCCTCAGGGCTCAGGGTGGGACATAGCAGGAGGGTGGCAGGCTCATCCCAGGTACTGTCCTACAGTGGGGCTGAGGATCGGCATGGCTACATCTGGGACCGCCACTACAACATCTGCCTGGCCAAGCTGCGGCACGAGGACGTGGTCAACTCGGTGGCCTTCAGCCCCCAGGAGCAGGAGCTTTTGCTGACAGCCAGTGATGATGCCACCATCAAAGCCTGGCGCTCACCACGCACAGTGCGTGTCCTCCAGGCCTCACGCCCACGCCTGCGCCCCTTCTTCTCCTGGTTTGCCAGCCACAGGCGCTGAGGACTCCAGTGTTGGGACCCACAGGGACAAAGCCTGTGGCTATTCCCTGAGTGGGGCGGAGAAGTTCACAGCAGCCATGCCTTAGAAAGGGGACAGCCCAGCCCCACACGCTCGCTCACGCAACCTGCTCACAGCCATCAGGCTCAGCACTAGGGTGGCCGCTGTGGGCGGTACCATAGACCCCATATCAGCCTCTTGGCCAGCTTGGGTGCACAGGATACTAGACGCCYTGCTCCTTGCCCACCCCTATCCCTGGGCTGGAAGTTCACGCAGTCCTGAGCTGGCCTTGGCCTGAGCCCTTGGGACAGCCAGGGCAATCTGCACCTGGGGGCTGTGGGTGACTGCCCATTGGTGGCAGAGGGCACCTGGTTTGTGCACTGAGGCGCTTGGGAGGGGCCAGTCTGCTGGGCCTGTTGTGCTGCACGTGCACGCCACCTCTTCAGGGTCTTGAATAAAGAGCTGGCCACAGCACGTGGTTGTCCAGTCTCTATCCGCAGGGAGGGGAACCCGGGCACTGCTGGCCCCGCTGCCTGGTGGTGACTACCTTAGGATTCCTCCCAACAAGTGACGGGAGGCTGAAGCAGAAGTGCTGATGCAGGCATAGGTCCCTCAG